CCTGAATTTTAGCAAAAAATAAAATAATTTCCATGCCTGAAGATGACTGACTGTACAGTTGAAAGTACTTGCGTATTTAAGAAAGACCTTATACAGCTTATAATTTTTAAAAACAAGGATCATATCATTCATCAAGTCATTTGTAGGTTAATGCACCTTTAAAATTTTGTTTGCGAAGGGATTTCGCCATTTTATATCATTAACTTTACTAATCTACTTTTTTATGAATGATTCATTGTAATAGATAGATAGTGTACCACACGATCGTCAAAAAACTATCATTAAGTTTTGAATTTGGAGTAATCTTTGTTCTAGGCTGGTTGCTGTCCATCTTACTATTCCGTCTACAGGTTTTACGAGAAGAAATCGAATCTTTCTCAACGGAATTTTCCCGAAAATGAATCAAATAGACTCGATTGGAATTCGAACTCAGGTCGCCAGTTTTTCTTTCTGAGCCACTAACCATTACACACTCTGTACATCCACATGCACACACGCACGCACGCGTGTGCGCACACGTAGAGAGAGAGAGAGAGAGAGAACAGAAAGAGAGTAGCAAGTACAATTAAAGCTGAAGTTATTGAAAATAAATAATGAATTGAATTATTTTTTATAAAACCTCCTAACGCTTGGATACTATATCCGCTAAACTCAGTAGAGCAACAGATAAGTAAGCTTTCATTTTGTTACTATTAATGCTTTATCTCTTAATATTCAGCCCATTAATGACAAAGACTGCTAGCCTGAGCTTCCAGAAAAATCTAAGTCGACAACCTCACAAGTACATACACACAGGTCGTAATGTGTATAGTATATTTTTATATGGTTTCCCCATATGTAGTTCTTTTTTTTTTTGGTTTCCGCTCTACAACGAAGATTGCTACACAAATAAAACATCAAGCTGAAAACTCGAATTATGTTCTTAAAGAGCCTAATCAGAGCGAGACTTCCTATGATCAAAGGTGAAAAAGGCTTTGAGCGAATGAAATCTGAGAAATTAAAAAAAAATTAATGATCATCTATCTTTGAACTTTGTGGACTGACGCAACAGAATCACAAACAAAGAACTGTACCAAATCACATCACTTGATGACAACCAACAGAAGCAATAACTAAAATGGATATCACATGTAACTGGAAGAGAAAATAATGACATAATATGTTACCATTCCAAATCTTAGGAAGGCAACCGCCATGAGTACTGGCAAGATTGATAACAACTACTTGAGAAACCTTTTACCGTGAAAAATTATTTTAAGAGACAGATTTTATAAATTTCAACCGGAAGCAGTACTTGCAGGTCGATCAATAAATGCCAAATATTTTCTTGTAAGGACACATGGCACAGTCGATAAAGGCGTTAGTTAGATCCAGTGACAGGACCCAAAGAGTGTGAGTTCAATACCTGGTTGTTTATTCATAAAAACTTGAGAGGGGAATTAGCAGGAGATAACTGATAACTGACATCCATTAGACATGGCACGTGGAACTAGAACAGTCTACACCAGCGAGCGAAATAATGGGTTCAGTTCGACATTCCAACCAGCCGAAGAAGGCCGGAGCGTACAACGGCCGAAGTTGTGATAAATATTGCAACAAAGATGAGTCCGAATAATGTAAATAGTTAATATTACCATTACTATTAAAACTATTCTTATTACTGTTGTTGTTGTTGTTATTGTTATTACATGTGTATGTTATGTTTCCTGCTTTATATCCTATAGAGCCGGGTCTAAACTTTGGTGTTTAGGTCCTATAGGAGAATTGTCATTTAACTGATAGCACTTTTCTTAGTATGTTCCTAGTGTTGACCATGTTTGCCGTAGTCTCTGAATATGGAATCCAGTGAAGTCCGTAATCTATTCAATATCAGAGGTCGGCAGTGAAGATTCAGAGAAAGTAGCGGCTGTTAAGTAATTCTTTAAGTCTTCGATATCAGGTTGGCAGTGCAGACAATTTGGGAGAAAAATGTCTGCCTTTATACACGTCGCATTGAATATTTTGAGCTTTCTGATTGGTTAACCCTTCTATTGGTGAACTATAAAATGAGTCAGCTCATTTAAGCTAGCTCACTAGTACTTACAGGGTACCCAAAAAGCTGCAACACCTAGTAGGACTATCTTCTAGGCAACTTGTCTGTTAATGTCAACGGGGGCACTGTTAGTAAAATTGTCCCTTCCTTTTCTCATGTGGCCCAGAGCTCCGATAGCTGTTGGTACAGTCTCAGTCTTCATTCTCCACATCCTGTTAATCTCAATCTCCAGGTCCTTGTATTTGGACAATTTCTCGATAATTTTCATGGAAGTGTTTCTCTCAGCTGGCACTGCTATATCAATATACATTCATTCACTTCCTAAATTTTTTGTCTTTTTTGATAATATCCGGTCTGTTGGCTTTTATTTCCCTGTCAGTTTGAATTGGCATGTCCCAGAGGATAGTTACATCATTATTTTGGGTAAATGTGTTTGGTTGGTGTTCATGCCATCTCTCGGTGGTTTCGATTTTGTGCTTCTTGCATATTTTCCAGTGCACATATGTCGCTATCATGTTATGTCTCTGGATATTATTATTATTTCCTTTGATTTCTGTTGTATATACATTTCCTTCCGAGTCCTAAGCAAAGACCACAGGCCAGAAATATTTCATAACATTTCCGTCTGATCATTTTTGTAAAAAAACAAAAAACAAAACAAAACAAAACCAAACAAGATCACACATATTTTACATAGATAAAGCCCTTTGCCATGTGTGAGCTGTACTTGTGAGAACAATTTGTTGTATTTCTTTATGGCATGGGTCACCATGAAATCCTCTAAAAAGTCTATCGGGACCCTTTCTAATCGAAGCTTCCAACTACAAATATTGATGTCCCTATATGCCACATTTTTCAGATTTCCACTTCAAGATCTTGTCTTTTCATTGTTTTGAAGATCTTCAAAGATTATTATAACTGTTATTGATGTAGTTGTTGGTGATGTATTATTTGGTCAAAATTCGTAAAAGTTTAGATCTGATTAGCTCTCAGGTAAGCAGACATCTTCTTTCTGATCAGTTTCACTATAAATTTTCTTTCCATATGAGATGTAAATGCCGACAGACAAACAGCCAGGCATGGAAGAAATTGATGAATCGGACAAAGGAAGGAAGATTATAATTAATATGTTTCTGTTAAGGGGTCCACCCCTTTTGATACAAGTGGACTCGCCCAGTGTGTACTTGTACTGCTGCCGGTGAATACCCGGGAGTCAGTGATACAGTGAGAGAGTGAGAGTGTGAGGTAACCGCTTTGTAGGAGTCACAGATGCGAGCGCGTAGACTCAGAAGGAAGTCATACTTCGATACTGAATTTCCCAGACTGTATATATATTATTATTGCTACTAACCGCATTTCTGGATCTACTAACCGTATTACCAATTGTATTATTACGTCAATACATTTATTTGTTATATTTCATTCCTGCGTTTGTCATTCATTTTGAGACCGGATTTCATCCTGGAATCCACAACAGTTTCTTATTTTCTTCGGCTTACCAAAATAACTTTTATCAGATTTTAATTTCATTGTAAATATATGCCTCCTCAGTTTCCTGGGTGTGGATTGAATTCAATTCCGGTCATTAGAATAAGGCGTCCATTTGTAATCAGGTCCGTAGAAAGGTGATAATAGGTTCTGGGTAAGGTAAGAAATGTAGGCCCGATTTCAAACCGATCATTAAGTAATTTTGTGTTAAGTACAATGATAGTCGTTTCAGATATTTGGTATTTATCCATCTGCAGTTTTACCAGTGCATCATGAACACCAGGTAAAAGGCATTATCACTTAGTGTGGGTGATCACAGATGCTAATTATCAGCATTGCCATCACATGTAGACTCTGTCATAGTAGCTACAATGAACTGGCTCGTGCACATGCTCAGGTTAGATTAAAAATATAGGCTTCTTTTGAACCTGCTCATTAGTTATGCAATCAATGCTAAATGCACATGGAAATTTAGTATGTTAATTTTTTTTTTTTTGCTAAACGATACCAATTGTCTCTAAAATATCAATATTCATTTCCAAAGAGACCCTTACCGTATTGAAGGATTCCCTTTATATTTGATATTCTTTACTAAAGTGTCCTCGTTAGCCACTGCGTTTTGAAAATTCACACTACCCCCAATTTTCAGACGCAGTAGGCTAACTCAAAATCGTAGGTCCTTGTCAGTTGGCTCCCTTACTGATGAATCAATGTGACCACCAGTTTGTTTGCTCATGGCAAGTACTATATTTATCGTGAGTGACATACGGGCGTGACAGTCCATTTCTGAAATGACAGAAAAATTTGATATCCCCCGATCCAAGATGTTACGTGAGTGCCAGCAATAACTAGAACAAGGCAATTACCGAAAACCTTGGACAGTGCAGTAACCAAATAAAGGTCCTTAATGATCGTGGTCAGGAGAATCTCGTTAGAACTGTAAAAGACAACCGAAACTTTCAATTCAGGAAGTACCACATGCATATCCAGCAAGTCAGTTTAGTGTTTCTTTTTAGCTTCCATGTGCCCCTGTTAACACCAATATACAAGACATAACGTCTCATCTGGGCTGAATTGGATCCTAACGGAATGGCAACGTGTAATATGATCCGTTCAATTCCGTTTCCAATTGTTTGGGTTGATGGCAGGCTTTGGATGTAGCGCAGACGTCTTGAGGCCATGGTCTCCGGTTGTCAGTAAGGCACCATACTGGGTTGCGATAGTTCAAAGGATGTGTTCACCGAAGCAAAATTGAAACAGGCCCACGCAAAGCTGAGAAGGCTATATGAGAAATGTAGACTCTATTTGAAACTACACACTAAAAATCTTTCTCACAAGTGCTACATATACATGAATCTTCTTGAAAATATTAATATATTGTATTAAAAAATGACAGTTTACTCTCAGTATTCTTTATAAAGGATCTCCGCCCTTTGCCTTTGTAATAAAGCGTGTGTGCCATCAAAAGGATAAAGGCTTACGGACATATAGCGTTGAAACATCGGTTCCCGTACGATCAAGTTAAGCAACGTCGAAACTGGTCAGTACATAGATGGGTGACTACTTGGGAATACCAGGTGCTGTAAGTTTATGTGTATGGTATAATGGATAATGGCTGTGAATTGTTAATGGGAGAGCCGAGTTCCAATTTCAGTTGGGTCCGTTATATTCACTTACGCGTAAATACCCTTAGGAAAGGTAAGAATTCAAATCTTCTTCCCCAGCTATGGGTTAATTAGTAAGACTCGTATAATTAAATCAGTAACATTTCTTTTGCAATATGAAAATATTTTCTGGCATTAAATAACTTGAAAAAGATTGATAAACCGTAAAAACGAAACAGTCAATTAATCCATGAAAAGGATAAGACAAAACTTGAGCCCTTTGTATTTAAATTTACATTTTACTTAACCGTATTGGCGAATTCCAATCGGTTAATGCGTTTGCACGCGTCCTAAGAACCACCTTGTCCGATATGGAAACATTAAATTCTGTCTGTGATGTGTTTGAGTGAGCTTCATATTCTCTGAAAAGGCAATTGATATATTCATCTGCCCAACTGTTTTTCTCATGCGCGCACATATCAAGCGCAGTCTGGGTCACATGTATTTATCTGTAAAGTCATCACTGACAAAGGAATGAATAGCAAATATCCACGTCCGTCTAGGATCATTAGAGATCAATTCTGCCCCAGTTTGGTATGAAATTTAGTACCGAGCCGATTTTTGTATAATAGCACACATCTACCCGGTAGGGTAGGTACCGTCAGAATCGTATATCTATGTCACGTAGCCCTAGCACCCTATGTTTAAATACTGTTTTTAATAATTGAGGGATATGAGCTATTCAGTTTTACATAAACTTACAATCTAGCAGACGTATGCTGTCAAGTGAGGACTTCTTTTGCACTTTAAACATTGGTTAAAATATTTTGTTACATAAATGCTTTCTTTCTTTATAATTTATTTTAATACTTATTATTTCTTAAAAGTTATGAGGAATCATTCAACTATGTATTCCGCTTCATTGTTTACGACTTCCAGCCAATAAGCCCCTCAATATTCAATGCCTCGACGATAAAAATCACTATGTTTGAACTCGAAAAATTAATCGTCACGTCTTTAAGCTCCACATCGTTGTTGAATGAAAGACCCCTCAAAGGGACCAGAATAGGTGTTTAGTATGAAAAAACTAAATCAGGAGAATACGATGGGCGTGGCAGAACTTCCCAAACGAGCTATTTCTTTCTATCCGCAGCTAGTCTGGTGTCGTGAAGGTAAGCTGACGGCAACAGAGGGGAGTTGGATTTTGTTTCTCTCGGTCAGTGCATGTATCATCCATGCACCGTGTTTCTGGACCTAACCCATTGAGTGAAGATGAAGAGCGATAGTAACATGAGAGCTTGCCATCTTCTGAGACAATTCCCTCGTGGTGTGGCGCCGATCTTCTTTAGTCAGCGCGTGTTGTTGGTTCTCATCAAACTGAATAGATCGGGAAGAATGCCGAGAGTGTGGGTTCGAGCTTCCGCTCCTTGAAACAGGAAAACCATTTCTGTGCCATTCTATCGGTAATGAAGTCATCTCCATGCAGACCACAAATGTATTGAGCAGCTTTGGCAGTCTTTGTTGTTTTTTCTTTAGCAGCATATCAACCTCTATGGGTTGTGTAAAGGCGAAATCTAAATATATTTGTACGCAATTTTATTTATGTTTTTTGAGATAAGGATTTAAGTGATATAAGTCTTACTAATTAACCCATATCTGGGGGAAGAATTTGATTAAACACATTTCCCATGACTGTTTGCGAGTAAGTAAACATAATGAACCCAACTGGAATTGGAACTCTACTCAATTTCAATTCTGATTCATTATCCATTACACTATTCGCACATACCAGCTTACAGCACCTGGTATTCCCAAGCGGTCACCCATCTAGCTACTGACCAGTCTCTATGTTGCTTAACGTAAGCCGCATTTGGCAGCTTCGTGACCTTGATTAAAAGCAAAGGGAAAAAGAACATGCTCATTCTTGCCCACTTGGCGTTCCATCTCAAAATGGTGTCTAATCTGAAACAAAATATTAATAACGTTAGACAAGAGTTTCACAGGATCACCAGAGTTATTAAGAATCCAAAAAATGCCATGACAAATTAATCTTGGCTGTACATAAAAAAGGGATAAAAAAAGAACGAATATACGTAACAACGTAATAGATTTATTTTGCGGTTGATTTCAGTCGATTATTGACTTACATCTAACTTTTCAGTCTGTCTGATGGAAACAATTTTAGTCTGCACAGCGGCCAATCAGAGTTACATTTGGTCACCATTCCTTTAATCATCTTGGAAATAAAAAAAATAATTTGATAAAAAATGAACAGAATAATATAAGTACAACGAAACAATTCACTTTTAGTTAGATATCTCTATTTCGCATGCATTTTAATGCTTAATTGTGTCCAATCTTTTAAATTAATCTATCATTTATTAAGCTATGTACTGTCATACGTATAAATGCAGCGACTGTTACGTACACATCCGTTTCAGTATATTGCTGTGTAAGTGGCTATATAAAAAAATATTTGTTATCTTTATGGCCCATTACAAAAAGGACAGATAAGGTGAATTGATTTACAGTTAATGGATTCACTGTTCAGACCCTTATTAGCTGACTAATGTGATTAATCCCGGTTTTATGTGGAAGATATCAAGCGAAAAATATTTTAGGCATTAAGTGTCGCATAAGGAAATCAATGAAAGCAATCGAGATAAATTAGATAAAAAATAAAATAAAAACTCAGTGAGGACGAAGAAGAATAAAGGCGCCGTTTATTCCAAATACTGTAAACAATTGCGCAGGATTTATAATCTTTTTTTTTCTTTGTTTCAATCGGAGATATTGCACCCTGGGTGTTTTCCATCAAGTCGTACGACCTCAGACAGATAATACCTTTCACAGAATATTTGCAGAGCCAAGCAACCCGGACTTCTGAAACGATGGGATACTAGGCTTTATGCAGATTTACTTAATCTAGGTCGTTAGGATCGATGGTATAGGCACCGATGGTAACTGAGACAATAGTGGTTTGAGCCTCTCACATTCTGACAACTTCAATGTACGTTTTAGGCTATTCAATTTGTTTGACTTTGATATTATGGTAACCAGGAACAGCCACATCGATGAGGTGGTATTATTATCATTATTATTATTATTATTATTATCATTATTATTATTATTATTATTATTATTATTATTATTATTATTTATTTTTTTTTTTTTTTTTTTTATTTTACAGCTTACTTTTCCTTCCGGGTCTACATTAAAGATAAACAGAGACTGTTAATGCTATTAGTGAGAAATTTCGTGGGGATGGAAAATGTTCAAAATTTTTTACAACATTTTCAATTCATCATTTTATATATATTAAAAAATCATTAACTTTTGATACTTATTATATAGGTCATTTCGGCGTTTTTACATAGACTTAAATTTTGAACTGAACCCTTTATTATAAATTTTTGCCAAAGGTTGTTCTAGTACCACGTGCTATGGCTTTTTTTTCTCTCAGTTATCATTTTTTTCAATTTCAAATTTTTGTTTTAGTAAATGTATTGTCTTTGTGTATCAGAATCCGACCCTTATTATTTTTTCTTTTGTTTAAAACGTAAATATCCTGTTTTAAATCAGAACATTTTTGGTACCAATCTGATTTATTTTATTTTTTTCATCTTTGACATACCGTGCGCTTTATTCATTTGTTTCCAAATATAACATTCCTGGTTAAAGCCTAAAACTTTTTTTCAGTATTCTAATAATTATTCGTCGGATGCAAAATTTATTTTGGCATTTCCTGTTTTCTTTAGTAGCGACACTATTTATACAACCCAGTTATTCATTATAATTGCAAATGAAAAAACTATTCTTTGATTACTCTATCCATCACTCATTGGACAAGTCATATTTGTGTTTATTATAATTTCGATGTATTTTTGAGGTTTGGATCAAGCAGTCTGTTTGTGGAGACTAAAAGAAAGCAACTTTGCTGAATAGCTAAGAGAAAAAACTTTTGCGTTGCTCATATTAACTTTTATAATTTAAGGAGATTATTTCTTCGACGATAGCAAATTCTTGTAAAGAATAGTCTACATGAAGGTCACAATTTCGATGTTAATTGGAGGAATTTAATTAAAACATTAAACTTTCGTTTTCTTGTACACTCTTTAGGACAGCTAATAAATTGAATGCTGAAAAATGTTATTTTTTTCGTTTTCATTTTTAATGTTTCAAATGACTTATAAATAAATGTGTTCAAAAACAATTCAAAGATAAAGAACCATAAATAAAAACTAAACTAATTGAAAATAGCAAAAAATTATACTGATTTATATGTGGAAAAAAATTTTATCATACTTATGAAGAAATTGGAAAAAATTTGCAATCATGGGAAATGTTCAAAGAACTTAAAAATAAAACGAAATTACTACAACAAATCTGTTAGGTTTCATGGCTGAAAATCTTTTGTTACACAAATTTCTTTTTCTTTAATGAAGGTAAATACAAAACTTCATATATTATTTAATACAGAAGAAATGATGAAAAAATTTTCAAAATTTTTTACATTATTTATTACTTTTGTATGGTTTCAATGGTTGGAGGAAGTTAGGTCACTTTCCATTTTAATTTATCTTATTCAAAATTTTATTCTTTTTGTTTTATCTTAGGGTTTTGAATGTTATTTATTGAAAGTTTCAACTTATTTTATTTTTTGTTTAAGACTTGCAGACACGCAATTTAATTTATTTGTGTGTTGTTAAAAATTTGAAATGTATTAACAGCAAAAGGTTTTTTTGGAATTTTTTTGATAGAAAATTAAAGATATCTTAACTTAACATTCAAAATGATCGAGTTTTTTAACACTATAATTCTATTTTTGCAATGAAAAAGTTACCATTATTCTTTTTTTTAATCATATATGAATCGTGATTTAATCGATCAAAAAAACTGAGGTTATCAATTAAATTAATCATATAAGGATTTATTTATGAATAAATAACGTTCATATAATATAAATTTTAAGGATATTTAAA